GTTCTTATCTCGTTCTTAGCCAGTCTGCAGTCCGTTTGTATCCAGATCAGATCGTGTAAAAGTGCCCGTTCACCTCATCCCGACAACGTTTCGAAGCAGTTCGAGCACGTCCGTAGCCGTTCTGAACCCGTTCTTAACCAGTTCAACCTCGTTCTACCCCGTTCACAGTACGTCCAAGCCAGTTCTAACTAATTCTTAACCCGACCAACTCGTTCGCAGTACGTCCACATCTCGTCCCAAGTGCGTGTGTATTCGCGTCCTGGCCCGTCCTGGCCCGACTCCTATGGATACCGAGCGCGTTGTAGCCAGTCTTCATTCATGTACAGGGCTCCGAGCTGTACACATCATGCCTCCAAAGAGAAGTCATCCCGGTCGGTGTGCACACGTACTGAAATTTATGTCGGACTGCACCACGTCGTAACACGTCCCTAGTAGGTTCGAAGTACGGCAATTCCGTTCGTAATACGTCTTTCTCGTTTTGAGTACGTTGTCAATCCGACTAATTGCAGAACGGGATGGACGGGATAACATTTTGAGCAGACTCAAAGTTCTAGAGCACCCTCCCCGTCCCAGCCCGTCCATGAAGTTCGTAAAAAGACTGTCAATAGTTGCTACAACGTCCACTACGTTCATACACAGTTGGAGCCCGTTCGACAATTTTTTTACGAACGTATTGAGAACTAGTTTGGTGTGATGGGGGTATTATATCCAGTACGATATTTCACACATCGCGATATATCGCGGTCAACAGTGCGAAAGTCGGCGGATAGCAAAATACACCCGATAGAAGGGTTTCAGGTATAATTGGTTTCCTTACTAAGGAGGCTGCACTATATAATATTATATATATGAATATCATCACTGTTCAGATTAATATAAGGGTCAGCCTCCTGACAACAGATGCGTTATACTTATATCACCCCAAGTCCATATTCGCCTCTCGTGTTTTCGTTGTACTTCGCTGTTTTGCCAATTGTCCTCATCCGCGAAATCTGCGTCGTTTCCTTGGCCGTCAACCTCAATAGTGCCAATTGATACCTAATCAATCCCTCTGATAGTATTATGAAAGGCTCTGGTGAAGCATAACGGACAGGCAAGCCCTACAACAATAACGATTATATTGATTTCAAATCAGTGTGCGTGAAAAATAGCATTCTTTTGGTATTTAGATATTTACGTTTTGCTGCATTAGATCACGTGTGGCGTTATGGCGATAGCTGTACGTGGCGTCGACGTACCGTCCAGTGAAGCTTGGTTCATAATAGATCCTTGTAGAAACATTGCCCGCACGGAGAGCTTTGTGTTTATTCACAGAGGAAGGTAACCGTGGCGACATAAGAAGCATAAAGTGGATGGTGTAATGGTTTTTCATTTGACAAATGTGTTGATGGATGATTGCATTTTTTAGACTGTTATGTGATGTATTGATATTATTGTTGTCATGGAGTAGAAGGTTAGAGTGCTTGCTGCATGGATAGGTTTTTATAGAATACTATATTCGTAAGATATATACTCTATACACTCTCCCCCCAAAATGCACAGGTGTTTTTCTTTATATTTTTCTGCATATTTCGCCTGAAATCTTCGATAAAGTTCCTTGCTTTACAAATGTTTGTTCCTAGTGTTTTCTGATTGGGTAACATCGCCCAAATTGATTGACATTTAAAACGGATTTTTTGAAAATATCACGCACTAAACGTGGATTAAAATCGACCTTCCTTGAAAGTATCAAAATCAGAAATGACAGCCTACGCACCTCCTTGAGCTCAGTTTTCATACCTGTCATTTGCTGTGTTTGTAGGTCCTTTTATGAACATAAAACTGTTGGAAAGATTACTTTATTTTATTTCCTCGCTATGTAGCATTCGTGACCAACTCGTGTTATTCCGGGACAAGCCGAATAGCGACTCGTGCCCCTCTCTTGGCCATTTTTGCGACCGGATTCCGTCTTAGCGCAAACGGGCATACCTAAAACAATTGTCAACTCGTTGCGTAAAGGTTCACATATTATTTCCCCATGTATAATATATATTTTAGATGCAATTTAAAGCACATTGGGACGTGCGGAATTATACAGAATGATTGAACACATTTAACTGTGTCTTGGGTATATTTTTAGATGCAAGACATATGTAAAATCAAAAATTATTTCTGAGGGATTCTTTGACGAAGAACTTAAAATCATACGCGCATTCTGATTGGTTTGTCGTATTTTCGCACATAACATTCATCGATAGGGGGACGAAAAGGTTACGGAAAGGGGCGAGTGGTAACGAATGGCTATGTAGGACACGTGACTGCATTACGTAACGTTATGGCACTGAACGTATAATGATCAGACACTCTCTAAACAAACATCACATAGACTGTAGGGTAGCTTCCCTTTGATTAAGGACGCTTATTCTAACGGGCGGACCAGTGGGTTGAAAATTTGTCTTTTTGCCTACATGGTAGTTACGCCACTGTCTAAACAACATGTTTGAGTTGGCCATATGTTGCATGTTGTCACAGTCCGCCTGACTGATCACTTAAAACATGTGGCGTAATATATTATTGCGCATCAGGTACCGTGTGTGAGAGATGAGAGTACCATGTTCGACGATAGACTTCAAGAATGACATTATAAGATATACAGATTATTACACTTGTGTGTTTTGGGACGCTACATATCCTGTAATGGAAAGAATAAACATTGTCATTAGCGACCCTTGTAAAAGTAAATTGTTGATGCAACACTTTCAGTATATTGACAAGTTAACATTAAATAAAATTCATCATGACAAGAAATAAAACAGGCCTGTCAATCGGTTTTCGGGTCAAAATATAAATTCCACCCCCAACCCCACCCCACCCCCACCCCCACCCCACCCCACCCCACCCACAGATTGTCCATACCTTGTGAACTGTTGTAGGTCTCTAATTGATATTACAAAAAACAAACATTCCCCAGAACGTGTTAAGAACACAAATATAAATGCGAAGAATTTGAATTTATAGTGATTGACAAAAATATTTCGACAGCCTATAGGGTACATCTTCAGTTTGCAAACTACAACGAAGAAAAAAGAAACTATTTTTTTTACTGTGAGTATAAATTTGTTTTATTAACTTGTTTTTTTACCAACAATCAATGTTATACAACTGGCAGTACATGCTGCACCTCTTCTCCTTTTTACACAACAACACATCAATCATATTTACTACAATACCATTGATACCATTGGTGTAGTATTGACACTGACTTGTCCCTGGCTTTTATTCACCATGGCAACTGAACCACTTTCTGTGGAAGCGTATTCGTGCCACATTCTAAAAAATATCATCTACAAAGATGATACTTTCATAACGTGGATGATATTTTTATAAGAATTGTGCAACTCACATCTACGTATATAATAAATATCATTAAAATCAGATCTAAGTTCTCGCTGCCGCAAAACAAAGATCTGAGGAATTCCCAGTACGGGTAACGTCAGTGCGACCTTTAGCGAACTCTGACCGACCAATGGAACGAGTAACAAGAAGTCGACATCAGCCAATTAGACAGCAGCTTTCTCGAGCTTTACGGCACTTGTTTCAACCTGGCGACTTCCATTTAAGACTACGCTTGCAAAATATGTTGACACAGTTATCGATTAAAATTTTGAAAACTGAACAAAAGAACAATCCAGAATGTCTAATTTATGGTTACGATTGTATGGCAGTGCTTCCCACGTACTGTGCAACCCCTCTTCCGTTAAAATGTTTATCCCACGGAAGCGAGAGATAGACGATAATTTTGACGGAATCAGTCGTTGGGAATACCCCGTGTTGACGTTTTCGAGGTTGCAGTATCAGAACTCATTCCGACTGTCACTTTCATGATCTGGTAAGCGACGCTTTGATTGGTCGGATGAAAGGTCGTTCTGACGTGACCCGACTTTGCTTCGCGATAGCGAGAACTGAGATCTGATTTTAATGAGATTGCGTATGTAATTTTGTAATCTACGAAGAAGAAAGTATCATCTACTACCGAACAATACTGATACTTACCCAGTAACAATACGTAGATGATTTTCTATTTTAGAATATGGCACTAATACACTTCCATAACTTTCGGTGTCTTCAGAAGAAATAAATGAAAAGCGTCACACTTTTCTGACCCTATTGTCCCAGAATATCCACGATCGGTATATGACACAGTGATCGGACAATGCCAACACAAAGTGTGTTTTATTTGAGCAGAAATGCGATGACCGCTCACTCTATGACCATTAAGGCAACGACCATAACATTCGATTACATGTTAATCGATGATTACCCATCGAATGGGTTCTTTGGGTATTAAATTAACGATCAATATTTTAGAACTCATGTTCTATTGAACATTAACCCTACGGCGAAAATGTATTGTGGACGATATCAAATATAAGTTATGCTTAATTGTTTACCCTTTGATTTTCTATTACTGAAAAACAATAAGTTGTATTCTTGCCTCCGATTTTTGTTTGTTTGTTTGTTTGTTAGTTAACGCTGCACCCCTGCTGTAAGTAATCGAGTCTGGATCATATAATTCAGTGATTGACTTCATGAGCATCGCTCTACTCAATTGGGATATGATGAGATGTTTGAACCAATTCACTGAGACTGACCACCCGATCCCGTTAGTTCCCTCTTTGCTCAGTGCCCCCCGCCCCCCCCCCCCCCCCATATCACACACACACCACACAAACACACACACACACACCACACAAACACAGTCGCCATATAAATGCAATACCCATGAAAGCGACGTTACTTTCAAAATCAGATTCAATGGATTCGATCAACTATTGTAATTCCAAGAGCAATTTACAGCCTCGAAAACATTCAGCCTTTGTCATGCAAAACGAAAAAAAAAAATATCAATAAACCCTTACGTTAAGTAAGTAGTCCCGTTCACGGCGATGTATGTTTCACTCATTGCTGCAATGTACACATGTTAATATCAAGTTTCAACGCTGACGTGGACCTGTCGTTCTTGCTGATGTGAGAAATCGATCAGTGAGCATTGCGGGTAAGGGTAGCCATCTTGACGAGACCTACAGTCGCCCATGGCTAGGAGCAGTGTGGTTGGAGTATTTGAGCAAGACACCATCAGGTAAACGGACAGTAGTTACATAATACATTTGTACATTTTACACGTGCAGACTGATGCAAAGAATTGTTACATTTTTTTCTCCAGCGGCACGAACGTATTATCACGAGCATTTACTTAAACGAGGTCACATGCATCCTATTTAATGAAGAATGAAAACAGGTTTTGATTTATTTCAGCAAATATGAAATACTTTCTCAAAATGAAACGTAATAGCAATAGATGCGTTGATGAGATAACACATTTCGCTGTAAATTAGATTAGAAAACATATATTTTTATCCTACGCTGGGTTTATTTTTTTAACGTCATGGATCTAAGAACCACACATTATTATATTTGTTGCAAATTCCATACATGCTGCATAAACCGCTAAGTATGATAACAACTATGACAATGTCACTAAATCACAGGACCCGTGAAGATCGGGGGTGGAATAGATCTTCAGCAACCCATGCTTGCCGTAAGAGGCGACTATGCTTGTCGTATTAGGCGACTAACGGGATCGGGTGGTCAGGCTCGCTGACTTGGTTGATGCATGTCATCGATCCCAATTGTGTGGATCGATGCTCATGATATCAATCACTGGATTATCTGGTCCAGACTCGATTATTTATAGACCGCCGTCATATAGCTGGAGTATTGCTGAGTGTGGCGTTAAACAACAAACAAAAGAAACAAAACAAAATCACAGTCATGTAAAAGACGCGATTACTGAAAATTGAAATTAACATAAAGACCTGTACGCATATTACAATCAGTAGAATGTCCATTATTAAAAAAAACATAGTTTGAGTAACCTCCCTGATAAGCAGCATTTCATATTCGCACTTATAACAGCTCACTTACTCACGAAGGCAATTAGTTAATGGTCAGGCGTCAATGTGATGGATGACCCGTGAAGATCAGGGTAAGAACAGGTCTTCAGTAACCCATGCTTGCCGTAAAAGGCGACTATGCTTGTCGTAAGATTCGACTAAGGGGATCGAGTGGTCAGGCTCGCTGACTTGGTTGGTGCATGTCATCGTATTCCAAATGTGTGGATCGATGCTCATGATATCAATCACTGGATTGTCTGGTCCAGACTCGATTATTTTCAGACCGCCCTCATATAGCAGGAGTATTGCTGATTGTTTCGTTAAACAAAAAAACACCACCACCAAAACAAACAAAATAATGTGATGGACAATAAAACGACGAAAGCGTTAGGTTTCATGGCTCTTGCCTTTGGTATCCATATTTCACAACTTTTGAGATACAATCGAAGTTAAAGAGTTGGCACTAATTAATTAGTGTACAAAATAGTCTCGTCATCCTTTCAGATATATCGATAAAAGAACCTCAAAAAAATAGTTGGAAAACAAGTATTGTTGCTCTTCCGCTTCCTTAGCCATTGCTAAACGCCACTCATAATACGATATGGATCAATTTGAACATCATTTGTTCGCATCTTCTTTATATATGCATGCGAAACGTAATCAGGATAATTGCACAGTCCGTGTGTTTTAATGTAAAATGACAAAACGATACTAGTACTTGCGACCCTAAAACTTTCGAAGTAACAAACGTCTGTAAACCGGGCAAAAGGAAAGTACATGTATACACTTGAAAATTGGATTTGACCAAACAAATACAAACGTTATCAAATCGCTACAAGGTTGAAAACAGTTGCCGAAACACTGCAAACGAAAGGTTTAAAAACAATATGATACCCGTATCAAATACATCACCATTGAATAACCATTTCTTCTTTGTTTCATTTTAGCCATCATAAAACACTGGCGTCTACTTTCTTTTGCCCGGCAGTAAATAATGTCATATATACATGTATAGGTCAGACACACTGTCATTCATTTGGGGCACTGGTGGTCCAGTCGTATAATGCACAGTTATCAAGCGTATTACATCTATTTGTATACATTCTGAGTTTAATCACCAATGGCCACACATCTTACCTGTATCACCAACCTAGCCCAGATGTTTTCTCGCTCATGAGTTTGATTTGATTAAAATCATGTCTTTATGCTCGCTACTGTTAAACAAATATCAGAGGACATCCCATTACAGATCACGTCATAGCGACCTTTCGCAAACTTTGACCGACCAATGAAATGACTAACACGAAGTCGACATTAGCCAATCAGAAAGCAGCTTTCTCGAGCTTTACGGCACTATTCAAACTGGCAACTTCCATTCCTGGCTACGCCTTGAAGCAGAGAGAAAGAGAATTCTGGAATATATAATAGATGGTCGAGATTGTATGGCAGTAACGCTCACAGGCTTTGGAAAGTCTCTCCTGTTTAATCATCCCATTAAGCGAGATAGACGGATGATTTTGATCATCAGATCCCGTAACTTTTGTTCGGAATACCTCGTGTTAACTTTTTCGAGGTTGGGTGATTAGAAAACACATTCCGACTGTCAAATTCCCGATGTGGTAAGCTACGCTCTGATTGGTCGGATGAAAGGTCGTTCTGACGAGACCAGTAATGGGATGTCCTAAGACCTTTGTTCAGCAGTAGCGAGCACTAAGACATGATTTAAATCAAACTGGCTTGAAACCAACAACCAGTTAAAATTAGTCGTCGATATATTTAATCGAAACAGAAAAGAACTCATCTTGTAGCAACCCAAAAATATATTTTCGTGGCAATATTAAGACAGCGGGAGAGTTGTTATGGTATCAAGCGTCACCAGTTGTAATGGAGACGGTACACAACAAATTGTTTCTAGTGTTAGTGAGATCGTTATATTTGTCTCTCTGATCATAGAACAAGGTAATTTGACTGAACGTCTGTGTGTAGCTTCATGTCCTTGGAACCCGACTTAAAACTAAGCTATGTTGGCCAATGGTTCCAGGGCATTTAGGAAAATAGAATGGAGATATAATACAGGGTTTTCTGTATGACCGAGGATGCCAGTGTCTCATAGCCGTCTTAGTGCTAAGATTGACGTAGGAACACGTGGAGTCTTGGAGGGCTAAGATCACATTTTGAGGCAGGGTCACTGTGGTTTCCTAGTGCCGGGATGAAGGGTGGGAGTTAATTCAATGCTTATTGAACTATGTATTATTTACAGGAAGTACGTATGTATGCTTGTTGGCATTGAAGCCAATGGTCAAGATCAACGGTGATTACCAGATCTTGTATTCCCATCTCGCTATTAATACATTCACAGTTTGGGATATTAATGTTCACAAAAGTATAACCTATTATTTATAGAATGTAGATTTACCTACTGGAGAGATGGATATAAAAAAACGAGGAATGTATTAATTTTTCAATTAGACAAGAGGGCAAAAGAAACACCACCAAATAAATAAATGGTCGTCAGTTTTCAACAAATTTGCCAAACAGCACCAAAACAGTTGGGGACACATAGCTGTAATGCAACTTACCTATTCCCTGTTAAACATGTGCACAGAGCAGAGGCCTAGGGAGAGAGCCCCTCGGTATGTTTCAAATGGGAGCGACACAGGAGCACGTTGCCAGGATCATGGGCTGCTTCAAGTGCACCATCGCCAGACTTGTCACACGTCACGGGCAAACTGGCAGTACTGTAGACAGGCCGAGGAGTGGAAGACCCAAGGTCACGACCCCACAGGAAGACCGGTATTTACGGGTGCTTGACCTAACGTCCAGATTCATAACTGTGACGTCATCATCCGCAAACAGACTTGGACATCCAGTCAGCAGAAGGACCGTTGCTAGACAACTCCGCCTGTATGGTCTCCGTGCCTATCGACCTTACAAGGACATAACGTTAACGTTTCTACACCGACGTCACAGACTGAGATGGGCCAGGGCTGAACAGCAGTGGCAGCAGAGGAATTGGCGAAGAGTGCTCTTCAGCGACGGGAGTAGATGCTAGCTCTTCGAGTCTGATGGGCGGGTTCGTAATCTACCGACGACGTGGTGAACGGACGGTACGTTGTTGCGTCCAAGAAGTGGAGCCTTATGGAGGTGGTAGTGTCATGGTCTGGGGTGGCATCTGCGGGGACCAGAAGACAGATCTGGTCATCATCGACGGAAATTTCAATGCACGTCGTTACATTGATGAGATTTTGCGGCCTGTGGTACTGCCTTTCCTGCGCTATTTCAGCAGGACAATGCCACCCCTAACACAACTCGAGTCACTAGCGACTTTCTGAACGCCAACAACGTGACCGTATTACAGTGGTCAGTCAGATCACCGGACCTGTCGCCCATTGAGCACCTCTGGGACCAACTTGGACGTAGGAGTCGGAAACGTCAACAGCCGCCACTGACTAGGAATGGCGTGGGATCCCTAATCAGGAGACTAGTGTACTCAATTCGACGTCGTGTTAGGGCCTGCATCGTTGCTGGAGGGGGTCACATCCGATACTGAGCCATGTGTGTAGCAAGAGACTTTAAAAGAGATCGACGTCGATTCTGCTGATGTGATCGAATACTGGACAGTGCACCCAGCATGATAAACGTGTCTGCAGAACTTGAAGTACATGGTGTTCGATGTTGTCATTTTCAAATATAGTGATTATAGTGATTTATAAACACATGCTCATGATATATTTCATACTCTTAAAGTGAAAATTCATCAGCATGCTTCAAGGTAGTGTCTTCTTGTGTTTCATACTGTTATTAGGCCCACTAAAGCAGCCTTTTAGGTAAAATATTGCAGTCGAAGTTGTTATTACTATACATAGTTGTAGACAGAAATATACAGATCTATCCATCCATCCATCCATTCATTTGGTTAATTTCATTGGTTCTTCTTGTTGGCACGAGAACGACTGCGCATGCCATCTTATAAATTCAGGGAGTTTGTGAAAGTGAGAGTAGGAGAGATTGATTTCCTCATTTACGAGGAGCTAACAGTTTCATAAAACGCTATCGTTTTAACTCAGAAATGTTAATAGACGCATGAAACATTTAGAAAATTCAAAACGTCTCGTATATATGCCGAAGCAGTTTCCATATGGCGTAAAGGGCAAAACAGTGGTGAAAGTAACACGAATAGATCCAT